TCCCTCGTTTTTAATTAGGTGTTGCGTTCCGAAAATAACCCGCGATCAGTGAAATCTGCGAAGTAGTTACCTTTAGTTTTTACAGTTATTACACAGTGTGGTGTATTTACCCCCCACGGTTTACCTGAGTTGGTACAGTTCTTTATTGTGAGACGTGTAAGCTCTCACTCTGGGGTTACTTCGGTACGGAAAATGGTCCGAGACTCCTCTGTTCTTTAAGACATTACCCACAGCATAAATAAATACTCTACATTGAAACCAAAGAACAAAACCTGATTCCAGGTCAGCGGATGTGCGTGTTCATCAATCGGGCCTTAATGTGATCCGGAGTGTCAGTAAAGCGTCTCCTCCAAGCTGAACCAGAGATTCACAGCTGGATCTGCGGCAGAGCGACGGATCTGAGCCTCCGGTCGGGTTCTGCTGCCTCTGGCCAGTTTTTTTCCAGCAGGCATTCAAAGTTTTCAGCTCATCTCCTGAATGGCCAATCTGTATTACTTCTATTTAAATACCGTAACATTATTGGCACACAGGTAGAGAAGGAGCTCGGAGACTGTTTAGCCAATCAGGACGCAGAACACAATGCACTGTGAAAAAAACGGCACAAAAAAATCCGCGAAGCAGCGAGACGGCGAAAGGTGAACCGCGTTTCAGCGAGGGATCACTGTGGTACTTTTCCTCAGTTTTTGTCTCATGCAGATGTAACGCAGTGGGTCCTGGAGGGCCGGCCAGGAATCTTGGGCCCCCTGACAAAAAATTAAATTGGGCCCCCCCTCACGCAGCTGCTGTTACAATTTCTTGAGTCTATCTAAACATACGGTCGCTCATACGGATAGAGAGACCGTATGTTTTCTACGCTCCTTCACCCTTACTTCCTTTTAGGAGGGGGGGGGGGGGGTCGATTTATGTTTTCGCATCCACCTGAATAATATGTAGTTGCGCCCCTGCCCCCAGGACCGACTTTGGGGACCACTGATGTGACTTGTCGCTCTGTGCACCGAAGCGCATGAAATGGATCTATGGGGTTATTTCATTCTCACTAAAAAAAAAAAAAAAAAAAAAAAAAAAAAAAAAAAAAAAAACAGGGTTGGATCAGCAGATTAACTCCAAACAGGTTTGATTATTTTTAATTTTAATCCCGTAGCTGCGGAAAAATGTGCCGCGTTGTGGGCCGTTTTGGCTCTGATGGAGAACATCGCCAATAGAAGGACTCAGAAGGACCCATTGATCATAGATCATATTGATCTTCTGTTGATGATGGTTTATTAGTGTTTAGATTAATCCAGAGTGATCATCCTGGATCTCTGAGCAAAACCTAAAGAAGGAGCCGAGCGGTACCGGTACCGGTGCTACTGGAGTCGTCGAGCCGCCCGCTTTGTGAAAGCGCCTTATGGACATAAACCATCTTTATTCTGCAAATGTACAACTTATACACATGATTCCACTATTTAGAATAAACGTCCACATTCCCACTCAAAGACTCTCTGACTCTCTGTCTGTCTTTAAATCCCGGCTGAACGATCTGCTGCTGTTCAAACGGGCATTTTCACGATCTCTTTATTTGTTTATTTATTTTATTTGGATTTTATTTTTTTTCTTTAAAATGTATTAATTTTATTTTTGTGAGGTGACATTATGTGCCCTCAAAGCACCTTTTAAATAAAATATATAATAATAATTATTATTATTATAAATACTCACTGCTTCAAACAAGGACGTTGCCATGGTTACTGCTTCACGTGGTGGCAGACTTCTGGGTGTTTATACTAATTTATGTATTTGTGGGAGGCGACAGGGCGGACCAGCAGCTGCTCTATTTCCCGCAAATTAGGATTTATAAAGGAAAGGTGCTCGGCCACGTGCGCACGGCTTTATGCGTCCCTTTTTTTGTGCGCCGCCTAGTTTTAGTGTGAAAACTGCGCATTCTTTTATGCACGAGGCCCCAGATCTGAGTTTTATCGCCCCCTGGTGGAGAAAGGTGGAAATCAGGATAGGTTTATCAACTCAGCAGCTGCAGCACCAAGAACTGACGATGAACAACATCTAGAAGTCAGACCAGTTGGGTCGATTCGCTTCACGGACCAGTATGTGGCAGCGTGACTGAAGCTAACTAAAACGTCAGAAGAAGGTGAGGAATGCCAGAACCAACAAAGAAGACCAGCTGGAGGTCAACCTGGACTTCCTGAAGAACCAGAACCAAAACCTGGACAGAATCTGGATCTTCTGCTCTAAAGAAATGTCCTTTATGGTCCCTCAGTGGGGACGTTCAGGTCCACCTTTCTGGATTATAATCTTGTATTAATTGCTGTAATTTTCAGATAACCTGAACATTTTTATTAGCTGGAGGTCAGAATTATGAAACAGGAAGAAACATCTGGAATATTTTACTTTATGACACATTAATCTTGTAGAATAGATTATTTAACTTTTAGAACTGAACAAGATGAACTTTTCATAGGTTTTGTCTTGGATTATTTTGTCCATCTCATGTGTCTCTGTCCTCAGAGACGCAGGGCGAGGTGGAGAGGATGCTGCGGGTGGCGGAGCAGTGTCTGGACCGAGCCAAGTCCTTCATAGGGAAGCGCTATGTCCATCCTGTCAACCCTGTCCTCCACAACGCCTCCTGTTCTTCAGCTGACCAATCAGAAGCTGAGCCTGGTCCTAAGGCTGGAGACAGCAGTGAGTCCTCTTCTCCAATCAGAAGCAGCCCTGGCATAAACTCAGCGACCAATCACAGCTAACTTCCTCCTGGGTTAGAGTTAGGCCTCTGACATTCTCATCTTGCCTCTTAATGTCCCATCTTGTCCCCAGCCTCTGGTGCTGAGGGACAGGTTGATGCTTCGTCCCCGTTCGGTCTGTCAGATGATGGTGGACAGCCGTCCTCTTTCCCTCCTCCTGATGTCTTCCAGAGACAACAGACTGAAGCTTCACACGACTGCAGGAGGAAGTAAGTCCCCAGAGTAACGTCCAAATCACTGCTTCTGGTTCCACTGGTTGTACTGGTTTCACTGATTCCACTGGTTCTATAGACTATAGCAGACCGATGTGTCCACTGATTGTCCTCATGTGTCCTGGATGTGTCCCCTGCAGGACACTGACCCCGGTGGAGGAAGCGTCCCGGCAGAACCAGAAGCTCCAGGCATCCTATGAGGCTCGTGTTGCCCGGCTGGCTCCGGGTCAGGCGTCCCAGAAAACCTCCTTGGTGAGTCTGGACCTCGCAGAGCCGATCTCTGTCGCCACTTCCTGTCTGAATCCCAGGGGCTAATTTACATTTCCTGGAAAAAGTTTTCACACCCTCCCTTTATTGCTTCAGCCAGTCAGGATCAACAGGATTAAGACCTTTAATGTCAGAGTGGAAAGGGTTTCCACAGACCAGAACATTGGTCCAGTTGGTCCTGGGAGGAGTTTGGATCTCCTGTTGAACCTCTGCATGAAGGAGCAGCAGCTCTGGATGATGGAGCTCCTCTCCTGATCTCTGAAGTCCAGCTGGCTGGACCAGGTTCCGGTTCTTCCATCACAATCCCAATCTCGGGACCAGAATTTTGAGACCTTTGGACCAGCTCCTTCTTCACCAGAACCTTTTGGAGCAGTGTTCTTATCACTGCAGTTCTGGTCCATCACTCAGAAACTGCTCCACATGAGCCAAACCTCTGAGCCAGAGGAACCAAAACCTTGGACCCATTGACGATGACCCAGCCGCACAGAGAAGAACCAACAGAACCATCTGCAGAAACCCAAGATGAGACCCTGAGGTTTCAGGACCAAAACCTCCAGACAATCGTCGCCACAAACAGAACCAGAACCTTCTCTCTAGCGCCCCAGCATGTTTTCCGGTGTGTTTTGGTGATCCAGTAGGGGGTGCTTTAGCATCAGTAACGGATGTTTGGTTCTGATGGATCCTTCCAGTCGATGGTTCTGCCAGCAGCAGATGGACTTCAGGATATCTGAAATAGAACTCTTTGATTCTGATCCGGTCAAGATATAAGCGCACTCCTTCGGGACCAAGAGGTCCGAAGCATGACTTCCAGGCTTTTATTTTGAAACTGTAGTGGTTCCGTTTCGGGGTCAGGTCAGTTATTGATGAAGATAAGGGTGAAAGCAGGGACGCTGCCTGGAATCTTGGGCCCCCTGACAAAAAATTAAATTGGGCCCCCCCTTACGCAGCTGCTGTTACAATTTCTTGAGCCTATCTGACCCATAAAAAGCGTCACAATTTCAAAGGCTTGCAACTGCCTTGCTTTCTTTGATCCAATACTGATAACTAGTACAATATTTAAGTAATGCACCGTTCTGACCAAAACAACCAATCAGAACCAGGAGGAGGGTTTTGGCGCTGTCAATCACCCTCATTCACTCACTGCTAAATGTTCTAATAGTGGAGAAACAACTTATTGTTACAGGAAAATCGTTTATCTGCTATCACCGGTAGCTATGCTAACTAGATTAAGCATTTACAACAGGCTATGCTAGCTACAGAATAGCACAGAGGAAAGGGCAGGGTGGATGAGCAGCACCACATGAGATTGTGATTGACAGCACTAAACCTCTCCTGGCACTGACTGGTTGTTTCTAGAGAGCACTGGGAGAAGGCAGAGGAAATAGATTTTTCACAGATTACCTCTCATACCATAATGTCACAACATAATGACAGTTTTAACAAATATGTGGAAAAAAATATTTTTTATAAAAGTGACATACTGCAGCTTTAATTTCACCCAGGAGAGGGCAGGTCAGGAGGGATGTGAGTTAGAGCTGCTGCTGACTGACTCATCTGTTGTTAAGTGGTAAAAGGTACAGGTACCAGTTAAATATATGAATATGTTGCTATTTTTTCCTTAATTCATTAAATGCTAGTGAAATGGAGGTAATCAGTAGTCTGTAGCTAAGCTAACTATGCTAAATGGTTGATAATCTCATACAGTCTACCCACCTCTCGGAGAAAAACAGCTATAAATTGACACTCTTGACCTTTTTTTCTCTCTCTCTCTCCCTCTCTACTTTTTTTATTTTTTGAAAACCTGGTTTTCTAACTTTTCTTAGCAGCATAGTAACTGCCACAGTCGTTCGTGTCTTCCACTGACCGCTGCTAACAGCGTCACGGTGAAGCGCTCCAAGCAGGAACGAACCATTTCATGCAGGGGGGGCACGGCAAATATGGATGTGTGTTTTTTGGTCTGGGAGTGGGAACATTAAATTTTTATTGCTAAAAACAATCTCCAAAAATACAATATGATTAATTTTGGAATTGACAGGGCCCCAGATTTTTTTTTTTCTATGAACAATAAATAAATTGTGGAGGCCCCCCTGTTGGTCAGGGCCCCTAGAATTGTCATCACTTTTCCTCTCTGTACCGCGCCCCTGGATGAAAGTGCGGATTTATCTGGACTCTGGGCTTATTTAACTCTAGATAAGGTCCAAGTGACCCTGTTGAACCTCTCATTCGTCTCATATCTGTGGTTGGGAACCAGAGCCTGAGGAAATACCATGGTGAGCCGAACCTTTTCTCAGTTCCTCGCGTCTTAGATTATTTCTCGAGTTTTTCAGAGACATTTTGGATTTAAGGAAAATGTTCTGTTTAAATTAGGAAAACGTTTCGGAACCAGGTGGAGCTGCAGCCATATTGGAGGAAGCTGAAGATGTTTATGAAGGTAAAGTGTTGGCTAACTACTGTAAGCCGGTTCGGTCCAGATTGACGGGTACGTGTTCCGCTGCAGACACGGCAATGAGCTTCTCACAGAACCCGAACAGAACCGGAACTACATATAACTAGAACCGAACTTCAGGGTGTAACTGTGTGTTGCAAGTTGGTGAGGGGTGGGGTGGCATACCCAGTTACTGGCTGGCCTTTTCTTTTTTACTGCTAAGAATAATGATAAAATTATACGTCCTGATCAGGCCTTAATAGTAACTTTCAAAAATAACCTATTAAACATACTGCGAAATATAAACATGTTAAAACGGAAGTAATATAATTAATCTATATAATGTCTTTCACTTGGTGATGGAATTACAAAGGAACCTTTTAGTCATTCTAATTCACGGAATGAGGGTGTATTTGCTGCATATATTTGCTTTAATATAGCAAATAATAAAGAAGCGGAAAAAAAATATTTATATTGTCTGCTTGTAAATCTACACATAGTTTGGTTTCTGTCAGTTCTGTAAAGATACAAGAAAGCAAAGCAAATTTATCTTTTATATTGATCAATGATTTAATTTTACTTAATTGTTCTTGTAGGAGTCATGGTTTAAATTTTAACAAACTTTGGCTCCTATATGCTTTATGAAATATTTCTATTTGATGATTGCTCTGAATATTACCACGTTTTACGAACAAAATGATGCAATTTGTCCAGGGGAAAAATGTAGAAAAATGGGTGATTGTATTATTTTATTTCTCAGTCTGTCAGCTTAACGTCATGCGCAGAGTTGTTGCCATGGCAACCAATAAACAGCCCCGGGAGGCAGAGCAAAGATTACATTCAAGTGCATCAGGAATTAAAACAAAAAACACAAAAAAAAGGACGTACAAACACCAAACAGAACATTCTGTCAGTTGCAGGTTTATGTTTTTGAATTTCCATTTTGCGATCATTAGGAACGAACAGTCTCGGTGGTTGATTAGCTCATTTAAACACCTGATCTCCAACCTGTCAGAAAATGTAGGTCTTCTTATTTTTGTGTTAATTGAACCGAAATACTTTGAACTGCCCAGCAAGAGTTCATGGTGATGAAAGTTAAGCTAGCATAGCGAACCTACTCTCCACTTTCTTTATATATATTTTTTAAATTAAAGTTTTTTACTGACCTGTGAAATGTGATTTTTTTTTTTATTTGTATGAACAATAAATAAACTGTGGAGGGCCCCATTTTGGTCAGGGACCCTAGAATTGTCATCACTTTTGCCCCCTATACCGCACCCCTGCACACCAGTCCTTTGGGAAGTTACGCCTATGACCGAACTAGAACCACTCGAAACCAGAACTACGGGTCCATAAAGCCTGAGTGCTTCCAGATTAAACAGAGTGAAATTCTGGTTCAGATTCCTGGAGCTCTTTCAACTTTTTCCACTTCCAACCTGACCCAGTTAAGCTCCAACTTCAGGTTTTCATTTAATGGGTTGAAATAGTTAAATGTATTTATTTTTATTAAATCTTGTCGTAACTCGTATTGTCCAAGTATTTCCAAAGAGTTGTTGCAGACTGATTGTGGTGCTGGGGGCAGTACGGCCCTCCACTAGCAGTCAGTTTAAACAGGCCTCTGACTGAAGACAGTGTCATGCTAACAGCTGAACATCCAGACAGCAGAGATGTTATTCCACAGTAAGCTCTGCAGGTGTGATTCATAATTTAAGTGATTTGAGGCGTCAGACGTGGTCGTCTCTAAGCTTCTTGGTCCAGAGGTTGGCAGAGATCCACGCTGCTGTTCGGGTTTTTAAGAGGACTTGATGGATTTTCTCTGTTTTCTCATGAAGCAATCAGTAATCTGATTACCTAAAAGCATGTTTCATCTTCAGATGCTGCAGGTGATGAAACAGAGCAGTCATTTCACTCCTGTAGCACCTGGTGGATCTAAAGCGCTGCTGACCTCTGACCTTTGCGGCCCAGATGCACGTGTTTCAGGTCCTGTGGTTTTCGTTCTGGTTATCAGGAGTTTAGTCTGGATGATGACTGCTGCAATATTTGGGTTCTTCTCCTATTGATCGACACACTTTGAGTCTGCTGCTCTGTTTACTTTCATCTGGAGTTTTTACACCTAATTTTGTTGTTTTACTTGAAAATATGATACAATCTTCAATTCATTTATTCATATATTGTCAATATGTGGTCATGTTTGAGCCATTAAAGCCACTGATGTCTTCCAGAAGCTCTCGAAGGTCGTCATGGCATTTTATTCCAGATTATTTTGGGACTCTGGACTGCGGCTAAGCCTCCTGTTGTTGCAGTTCTGAGAGTTGCTGCCAGCGTTTTGGTTGGAGCCGGTCCGGATCGTTCTTGATCGACCGGATCGACTTTTATTAACTCATCAACTGATGGAGACTCAGCTTCTGTTTTCATTCCACTTTTGTTTGCTGGATTTCTGCTGATTGCTCCGTATTCTCTGTCATGTTTTTGTCACAAATTAAAATGTAATAAGTTTCAAAGAAATATTTATGTTGTGTTTCCTGTTTTCATTGTTTAATGAAAATGTGTCTCTGGTTTCTGTTGGACACTGAACCGTGTTTAGAAATCTGGTTTTCTACTTTTAAAAGTTTGTTTAAAATGTCAGTGTTTTGGATATAAATGTTTATCATAAATGTTTTCCTCTAATTTTTCTGCTGCAGACACTTTCTCTGCAGCGGCAGATGATGGAAAATCTGATCATCGCCAGAGCCAGACAGGACGCCGTATCCTTTCACTGAGCGCTTCCAAGATGGAGGCCAAGAGTTAAAATCTGCTGGTTTCTGGAACTGGAGCTGCTTTTCTATCCAGATGAGGGAAGCCAGTTATGGATTGAGTTAATCTAAAGTTGATTGATCTTAAAAATCAATGAGCCTGATCATCTTTCCATAACAGAAAGGGTTAAGTTGATCATAATATGCTGAGTTAAAAACATCATCAACATTTTTACATTATTTTTGTCAGTTTTATTAAATTCTAATTGAACAAACAGAAATTCTCACATATTGAAACTTAGACATATTTATAAAATAAAGCTAAATAGAATAAAGATTAGATTTCCAAAGTATCTCTAATGATTCCATGGGATTTGTCATCTGAAGCGTTCATAGTTACACTGTAAGATTTCACAGATTTATGACTCATTAAAACTACATTTATCGATGTTCAGCCACTGAGGCGTCCAAACTGTTGCCTGCAGAATTTTTTGGTTTCTGGCACAAAATATTCTGAAAATGCCACAATGGAGAAAGAATTCAGTGCTACAAGATATGACAACACAAGCTTTGTGATTGAAGAATGCTTCAGAAATCTGCAGAGATTCGTTCCTATTTGTCCTCTTCCAACAGCCATTGTACTTAACTACAGGCGAGATGAATTTTCAGAAACTTTTTTTCATTGAAATTTTAAAATCTGCATAAATCTAAAAGATTTAAGATATCTTGATTTAGAATTATGACTGGTCAGAAAAAAGGATATCTTAAATTTACTTTGACTAGTCCTATTGTAATAGAAACATAAAATGTGCATTTCTTGAATTGAAGCCTCCAAAGACTTCAATGGTAAATCTGGCATCATTTATTCAGAATGTAATTAGAGAAATCCTCATGAACTAAAACATTTGGTCATAAACCAGTTTCAGAGATAAGTGACGTGAGTGAAGCAGATTTTATGCTAAAACGGCTTGCCGTAGTCAGTGAGCAGTAGAGCTGGTTGTTCTGAACTCTGATCATCCTCAACGTGAAGATCAGCTGCAGAGGAAGGTGGAGGAGAGGAGGCAGAGGCTGCAGGACGAAGCTAACAGGTAGCAGCACATCATCATCATCAAATGGGAGCCGAGGGAAGCGTCGGGTCGGAAATGTTTGGTCGGGTCAGAAGCGTCGGGTCGGAGGCGTCTGGTCGGAAGCGTCGGGTCGGAGGCGTCGGGTCGGAAGCGTCTGGTCGGAAGCGTCGGGTCGGAAATGTTTGGTCGGGTCGGAAGCGTCGGGTCGGAAGCGTCGGGTCGGAGGCGTCTGTCCGGTCGTTTCCGCCTGGCTGGTTCTATCTGAAGGTCAGATGTGATCGACTGCAATCCAAAGATCAATCTGTTGTGTGTTGGAAGCTGCAGTGGGACCTGTAAAGTTTAGCAGACGCATATTTGTGGCTGTAAAGAAATCAACCTGGTTATAGTTGATTAATCAGGTTCTGGTCTAATCAATCAACCAATCAATCAAGTTTATTAGCATGTCAGCAGCAAGGCGGCTCAGACTGATTTACATCAATGAACCACAAATAGAAAGTTACTCAGCCACACAGTCAGCAACTGAACATGTTGATGAGACGTCAACAAAATCACATCAGATATATTGATCATTTCATTGATTATGGTTCAACAGCAGCTCTAACCCGGCAGCTTTTAGCCTTAAAGGAGCTCAGGGTTTCAGCTGCTTAGCACTTTTCTTGAAGTTTGTTCCAGATCTGTGGTGCATAGAAGCTGAATGCTGCTTCTCCATGTATGGTTCTGGTTCTGATGCAGATCAGAACCAGAACCAGGAGACCTGAGAGGTCTGCAGGTTGCTCCAGGAGGGGGTCAACCTGCAGACCAATCAGGAGCCTGGATAATCTGATCTAATCTGGTCTAATTTAATCTGTTTGGTCTCAACAGGAGGTTTGCTGCCTCTGGAGCACTGACTGCAGAGGAGCAGGAGCAGCGGCTCCTCTACGCCCGGGTTCTGGAGTACGAACTGGACCATGTGAGTGACCCGGCAAATCATTATGACCAGCTGGCCCAGCAGAACGTCTCGGTACCAACTGTGTTCTGCTCTAGTCGGGATGGGTCCATCTGCTAGAGGTTCTGCTGGGCCCAGAGTGGTCTGGCTAAAGGTGGTTCTGGTTCTAGGACTGGCCCAAACAGTGGAGAACCAACATCAAGAAGAACCCGGACGCCTCGCTGGTTCTGGATCTGCTCTCCTACCTGCTCAGGTGATTATGGGATACATCTATATATATATATCTATATCCGAGTCTGGAGTGATGATCCTGGTTTCTTCCAGGTCTGATCATCCACTGGTGGAGCTGCTGAGGAAACATCAGTTCAGGATCTACAACCAGCTGTACCCCATCATCACCCAGAGTCTTCCTCAGAGTCTTCCTCAGAGTCTTCCTCAGAGTCTTCCTCAGAGTCTTCCTCAGAGCCCCGCCCTGCCGCTCAGGTCTTCTCGCAGCAACCACGTCCGTCTCTCTCCAGGTGAAACATCCAGTTGGTAAAGTTGGGCGTCGATCCTCTGAGACAATGCGGGGCGTCGCAGATCGTTGCCACGGCGACCATTGCAGCAGGTCATCGTCTCAGCAGGTCGGTTGTGAATGTTGTGTGTCGACCCATCACAGAGCGAAACCCGACCAGAACCAGCAGCTCACTGGACAGCGAGGACGCGGCGCAGCGGGACGACTCCTTCGAGGACCTGGAGCACTTCCTGTCCCAACTGGACTCCGCCCCCCGCGGCGGCCTGCAGGCGGAGCTGACCTTCGACCCCTCTGTTGAACTAGAGCAGCTGGAGCTCAGAGCTCTAAAAGAACACCTGAAGGCCATCGTCAGAGACGTCCACGGAGCCATCGGTGAGCTGATCAACCGATTATTGATCGATGGATTCTGAATATTGATCCTGAGCTTCGGTTCCAGATCAGCTGCTGTCGCTCTGCCTGCTCTCCTTCGACTGCCTGAACACGGCGGCCTATAAGGACCTGAGTCTGGGCTGCATCGAGGAGGCCTTCTTCACGCCACTGTGGAGCCCCCTGCTGGCTCTCTTCAGGTATTACACCTATCCTCTGCTGGGGTGGTTGGGCCGCTGCGCCGCCCCGCACTACGCTGCCCCGTGCCGCCGCCATGCTCCGACCTCCAGTCAATGACAGAAAGTTTCTCTGGTTTATGGAAATCAGCCTAAACTCGGCTTTAGTTTTTTCTGGGACAGCTGGCAAACGGTGCGTCGCATGGCGGCCTTTTCAGGGTTACGGGGTTATCGTAAGGTTGCCAACTTTCTCATTTATTTTTCTCATAAATTGGTTTTCTAATTAGGTAGAAATGGACTGGAACTGCAAATGTTGGTTTGAGCGTAAGAAGCATCAACATGTTCAGATGGTTTTATTTTATGCATCTGAAGTTCAATGCCTAGAAAAAGTATTCACACCCTTTGTGTGTACAGAGTCGATTCTCGGCTTCCTGATGGCGCTTAGAAATAAAAAAAATAATCTATGAATGTCGGCGCTCTGGGTGTCAACGAGGCTTTAGCCCCGCCCCCACCTGACTGCCAACTTGTCAAAGGGTGTGGCTTATCTTCTTAGAAATATGCATTCTAGAATTTTCCAGCTTTTGTTCCATTTCCAGCTACACTGTGAGCCTTTCTAATGGAGTCGTCTGTGACCCCTGACCTTTCGTGGACTTAAACCATTCAAAATTACAACATGTTAGACGACGTTTTCGTTCAGTGTGACATAAATAGATTTTATTTCAGGTGCTACAGTTTCTAGATGCAGTGAGTGCACATGTGGTGACAGTATACCTTCTCCCAGTGCGAACTAGAAACAGAGCCTGGAGGCGGGTCTTAGCACTGCCAATCATGTATGTGTGCCCACTCCTCCAACCTGATGGGAGAGGTGAAAAGGAAGAATGGAGGAAAGCTGACAGATCCAGGCAGACTGAGGCGAGTTTATGCTCCCTATTTGTATTTATCTGTTTACTCTGCGGGGATTAGCGCAGGGTTAGGATTACTAAACCAAGCTTAGTTTACTTATGCCTTGGGCCGGCCCTGGATTAGCAGCTTTATTGGGATTATTTTTTGCTCCTGACTGCAGGGTGAAAAGTTTTCCTGCATCCTGTGTTCCTCAGGCGAGTCCTCAGGGAGCGAGAGCAGCTCTTCCAGAGGAACATGACGCTGTACTGCAGCACCTCGCCAGCAGAGGTCGGCGTTCCCCTCAAACTGTTCCCTCAGGACCCCGGCACGCTCCAAGGTTCCTACCCCTACGAGGTCGCGGTGCAGGAGCTGAAGCTGCTGGTGGAGGACCGCTGCCCTCAGAGGAAGCTGGACTGCGTAGGTGAGATTAAACCAGATTATAATCTGGAGGTCCAGCTCCTAAATCTGGTTCTGGTTCTGTCTGTGGAAAGCTCTGGTATCCTAGCAACAGCCTGAACACAACCCAGTTTGGGTCTACAGTGGTTCTGGTTCTGAGTCAGAGCTGGCATCAGAACTGGGTCTCTAAAAGAGTGGTTTGGTTTACCAGAACCACAGAACCGGATCGCAAGGCGCCGCTGGAAATGTCTGACCTCAGGAGAAGCAGAACTCTCTTCGTTCTGATCCGGTTTCCCTCCGGGGTTTGGTTCTTTTTCAAAGAGTTCTTAGCAATTCGGGTCGGTCTGTTTTAGAACCAGCAGCTGCTTCTGCTGATCCAGAACAGGCACTGTGGACTGCTCTGTTGGGCCAAAGTGAAACCCAAACCTGACCTATCAGAACCAGAACCAGGATGTTGAACAGTAAGAAACCAAACTGGTTCTTCCTATGAGACCATTGAAGGCCCGGCAGAACCACCGGGACCAGCAGCGTCACTCTGCACCTCAGCTGCTGCTCCTTGCTCTGTCGACCCGATGGACTGGTTCTGTGTCTCTTGCCTTCAGAACCGTGAATCGGACCCACTTACCGGTTCTGTTCTGTTTGTGTCAGTGCGGACGCTGCGGCTGATCTGCGGCTGCGCCGAGGATTACCGGAACCAGCAGGGGGGCGGAGCCTCCCGGGCCGCCGCCATGTGAGTAACCTGCCGGGCCGCCGGTTCTGGTAGGCCGGCACCGGTCCAGTTAGAGTAAACAGTCTTTCTTGTCTTTGACCTCGTTGAGCTTCGGACTCTGTCAGCCGTGAAATCGATTCTGAAAGGCCGCCGGCGCCGTCTGGGGCTCCGTGACCCGGCAGCGCTGCTGTCAGGTCTCATCAGCCTCACTGGGCCCGGCCCAGCAGGAACCGCCCCGGTTCTGGAGCCGCCCCCTCCCCCGCTGGTCCAGCCTGAAACTGGGTCGCCACGTCTGAAGCAGGAGGTCAATGAGGCGGTTGGAGCGGGAAGAAGAGGGCGACCCAGCAGAACCATAAAACTCAGTTGAACCCAATAGAACCTAAATGAACTCTGAACTTGGTCCTCGTTTTTCTAAAGGGGATTAATAATCTGAACTAATAATTTCTAATCTCTTTTCTGGAGTTCTAATTTAAGCCCAGATTTAGCTTTCATTATAACCAACATTTATTTTATTATTCGATTATTGTATTGATTAATCAGGTAATAAATAGATTTTTCATTTAACCCTTTTTTAGACATTAGAAATACAGAAAACCTGCTAACCCGGCACCAGGGGGCGCTAGACCATCATAACAAGGCTCGGCTGATGCATTTATATGCTTCTTTTCCAGTTTTGGCTTCATTGTTTCAGTTCTTCCGGCTAACAGTGTCTTCAGAGCCTTTAAGCTCCAGTTAACAACTAATCGATCACTGAATTAATTGACGGTTATTTCAATAATCACGATTAACCATTTCAGCTCCCCTCTGTCCCCTGATGTCCCCTCAGCGGCGCCGATGACCTGCTGCCCATCCTGTCCTTCGTTTTGCTGCGCTGCCAGTGTCCCCAGCTGCTGTCGGAGTGCGCCGCCCTGGAGGAGTTCATCCATGAGAGGCGAGTCGTCGTCATGGAAACAGCTAACAGTCTATCAGAACGTTGACATGTTTTCTTCTAACTCTACTGCAGATCTTCTCTCTGTCCCAGCATCAAGTTTAAAACCACTTCCTGCTTGTTTATTGACCAACTTCCTGTTATCTTCTCAGCTTCCTGATTGGTGAGGAGGGTTACTGTCTCACCTCCCTGCAGAGCGCTCTGGCCTACGTTGAGTCTCTGCCAGCAAGAGCTGACCTTGCTGACCCCGAGTAATGCCCCCGACCTGCAGCCTCTGATTGGCCAGAAGGAGATGAGGTCGTGACCTTTGCTCTGAAGGCTCCTGGATATCAGGAAGGATTTACTGCTGGCTGTTCTGAGCATGTTCAGTAGGGGCTGAGAAACAGGAAGCACTGCAGCAGTTACTTTCCAGTTGTGGACCGGGGGAGGGGCTTTCTTCTACTTTTCCAGGTTGTTCCTCATCTTCCTCAATCTTCATCGTTTTCTGACAGCTCTCGGCCTCCCAGCCAATCAGAAGACTCCAGGCGTCAACTGGTTTTTCTGCCCCCTGCAGGACGTTTCAATAATTTCTCTGTAAACATGATCAGTGCTGTTCCTCCTCTCTGCAACACCTGGTTGGTGGGCGGAGCCTGAACCGGAGAGAAACACCTGGTTGGTGGGCGGAGCCTGAACCGGAGAGAAACATTCAGGAAATAAAGCAGCAGCAGATCTGAGGCCTGTAATCCAGACTTTACTGGATTATTCATTCAAAACATGGGAGTTAAACGCTGCTGCAGATTACTGATGAAACGACAGGAAGTCTGATAATCCTGCTGATAATCTCTGTAGTAATCCATCTGATAATCTATCCGGGTCACCATGTTGTAATCAAACCGTCTCTGATTTATTCAGTCGTTATCTGGCATTGGGATCAGAGTCTTCCAGGTTAGGGGTGGAGGTGAACGGCATCGTGGGTAATCTGCTTGCAGTGGATGTGATATGAGAGCAGATGCTGGGTGACCTTCAGGATGACCTCTGAGACCTACATCGGTTCTGCTGCTGAGGAACTGAAGGGAATTTTGGTTTTATTTATTTTTTCTTTTGTTTTTTTTTTTTTTCCAGAATTTAGTTTCTTCTCCAGTTTTTATTCAGTTCGTCAGGACCTGTCCAGAGGTCGGGGGTCATTAAATCAATCAACTTTGTATTTTATTGCTTAGTTTTAAGTCAGACCAGTTTACACATACCAAAGATTTATTTAGTTCAGCTTTTATTCTAATTTGCTTATGAAGCAACAATCTAATATTTTGTCTAAAAATAATTTCTGGTCCAAAGAGCAGAAACCGGTTTTAGTTTCTGGTTCCGAGATACAGAGTGAAGAACCGGCACCAGTGAACTGGTGGAGCTGGGAGAACCTGCTGGAATATTTCTGCATCGTTTTTATTTAAGACGTTTTCAAAAGACAGAAAATCTGTTTCCAATTGTAACATTAAAATGTTCATATGTTAAAGATCTTGTGATTTTACTCTAAACTGTACTCGGAATGTTTATGAAATATTAAAATATCTTTGTGAGAAGAGTTTACTTTGGGAGGAAGAAATCCTTCAACTGTTTCCAGTGAGTAGGAGTCCAGCTGTTCATAGCTAAATAATTGTGAAGGGCAGTTATTAATAAAACTTGTAATTTAGGTCAAAATGACTGGACTCCACCTGATAACTAGCAGAAGAGTCTCGGTTATCAGCCTGACGAGGTTTAGGTTTTCTAATGATGAAGGCCTCAGTCCAGCACATTGGCGTCATTTGAACATCGAGATGCTATGTGTGTTTGGAATAAACGTAGTTTATCAACCAGAAGAATTCAGTTTAATACTTTATTCAACAAACTTGTTACACTAGTGAGAAAAAGATGAAACTACTAAAAGTACAAAAGTGAAAATGGAAGCAATAAAATGATGCAGTGGTTTCAGTCCAGCATGAATGATTAAAGGCTAAGGATTGTATAGAGCTTAGTTGAGGCCAAATGGCTCCAAATTCAACATTAGTTTAGACTAAAGCTTGGTGTGTTCCAAAAACCATTTCACAATAAAAAGGGACATTATTTTGAGGAAGTTTTGACTGAATGAGAAATTCAGTCAAAACTGCTGCTGTTCTGACTAGAACCAGGAAGATGGAGACATAACACCAGATCTACAGTGTAGCTCAGAGAACAGGCTGTAAAATACTTAGTTTATAAATCACTGGGCGGTTTAGCACCACAACACATTAAAGATCTGCTGTTGCATCAGAACAAGTTCCAAACGAGAAGAAGCAGCATTCAGCTTCTATGCACCACACATCTGGAACAAACTTCCAGAAAACTGTAAAACAGCTGAAACACTGAGAACCTTTAAATCCAGACTAAAACCCAGCTGGTTAAAGTTTTATTGGTAACACTCTATTTGAAGGAGGGGTGGGGGGGTGTATAAGACTGTCATAAACACCTGGCATGAACATGAATAAGCCTTCATGAATATTTATGACTGTTGTCATAAAGTGTCATTCGGTAA